ATCATGTGCTTTCTGCATGTGTCAGGCCCTCATTCAAATCACCTGTACCTGTACTACTCGCCACTTTATCACTAAACAGGACACAGCGCCCCCTGGTGGTTTCAAATAAAGGCCAGTCACAAGTAGCGTTCATAAACACACAAGCAGCATCACTCACCTTTTCTTCCTGTTGCCATGGTGATGTGGTTAGGATTTAGGTTAGACAAAACCTGAGTGCTGTCATCACTGACCTGAGTATGAGAGCACAGACAGAGAGCACGGTGTCACAGATATCACACGCTCTCTTCCTCCACGTCCTTCTTTGTCCTGTTGTCCCATCTTTAGTCTATTATATCCCTTGGATATGAATACCAGTCAAATATAATCTGTCACTGATTTCTTTTTCATCAGTCCGAGACCACAAATTGATTATTTGAATAGAACAACTGCCACTGATTGTTAAAGCTCAGTCACTGCAAACTGACCAGGACCGCGTCTCTAGCTCTCCTTTATTGACCTGCAGCTGGTCTGATCTGGAGAACTAAGAAAACACAGGAGCCGAAGTTCATCTTGATCAATTTCTAATTTCAGCTCAAAGCAACAGCCGTGTAAAGGAAAAGTATGTGCAGAGATAAAACTGCAGCAATCAGATCAAGGTGACAGAAAAGAGCCACAGGACGAGCCCGGAGCCATGGGCTGGGCACCGAGAGCAGAGAGGGGAACAAGAACAAGCACGCACAAAAGTTTGCTGTTGCTTTCAGTTCTTTGCAGTAGTTTTTCTACAGAGTCAGATAAACACACAACACAGAGACATGCACAGCACATGGCACAGTGTGCTGTTCTGGCCCACAGACAGGTGTCAGCTAAATTATTTGTTATAGAGCATAAAGAGTTCACTGCATCACAGGTTGTCTTATTTCACTGCTAGTAAAAAAATAAATATGATCCATGTATTTATTGCTATTTCACTGTCACATAGGAGTTTTTATTAATGTAGTTTTTGTTTTTTATTGCACATGATGGTAACAATGAAAACTCTTTGCTGCCGCAGGTTTTCACTGTTGTGTGGTCTGATTACCAGCACTGATATCTCCTCTCTTCTACTATGTAAAGCTTCCCTATTTAAATTAAATAAATAAGAAAATATTATTTTAAAAAATTCAAGAAATCCAACTGAAATGAGTTGAATGATGATTACTCGATATTGTAGCCTGCCCATTAAATTATTAGAGGCTTTCTTCTAATTCCAAGATTATCAGTAACAATTACAACATAGTAATCCAGCGATTGTTTGTATTACAAGACATTTAAATGGATTTTTGCTGCAGTGCTTCACAAATGAAGCTGGATCCCGTACAGCTGTGTCCGCGCTACACAGAAATCAAAAAGGTGAAAATCCTCTGTGCTGTTTTTATCACAGCGTGTCCAGAAGTCACAAAGCTTTTGGAATCACTTTGATATACAGAGCTGAAACATGTCAATGTCACGGGAGCTTACAGAGGACAACACCCATCCTGCTCAGCTGTGCGGAGGGAAGCAGGCACCTGAGGGCTTTCAACACTGGGCAATAATGCGCTACACAACCATTCGGGATGCATGATAATAAAAGCAGGGTGCTACTTACAGGAACTGTGTCAACCCGTCAAACACAGATCCACACCCATCCAGTCTGCATCCTGCACCAACCTGCTGCTACAGCTAAACACACGCAGTCACAGGAAGTACGTACCGCTTAGTTCAGATCATCCGAGCTGCGCGCTTCCCGCTCCGGCGTCCGTCTTTGGGCAGCTGGCAGCTGATGCTGCTGTGCTCTACATGCACACTCACGTGTCCCGCGCGCGGACTCCTCGGCGGACACGCGCGTGTAGCAGACAGCCACACAG